TTCACCAGTGTCATTGTCAGCAATGTGCCGTTGCTGCGAATCCTACAGATCAAGCGCGACGAGGTCACTAAATCATCATTAGTGACGATGTCACCGTTGACCATTTTCGCTACTGGAAAATTGTCCGTCATACTTTTCTTATATTGTATGAGTATGTACTGCCGAAATAAATATTAAAATAAAATTTTTTGTATCTTGCCTTAAATTTGTGTACTTTCCTTAAATAAAAAAGAGATTCAACGCGAAAATGCCAAAAGAAACGGAATTGCGAGAATATGTGACTAAAATTTTTCAAAGAGAATCTCATGGGTCTTTTAAAAGAAATTGAAATCAAGTACGTAATTTTATAGTAACACATTTTGATGTTATGTCTGAAGGAATTTCAATATATGTAGGACCACCTACTGCAGACCCCTTCTCATATGGCAACATTATCAGAGTGCAACATTTTAAAGAAAGAGCACGCAATATGATGCATGTGAAGATGCTGAGAAAAGAGCACGAAAACTTGACAGCTCGGGCGCAGGACGGGCAGCATAAGTGCAATATTATTTCGAGAAAAGAAAACGCTATAAATTCACTTCAAATAATTATCATATCTACAGAAACGATCGGGATGACAGAATCAGCGGTGGCGTACTCTTTGCCGTAGACTATTCAATACCATCTGAAAAAGGTATTCAAGATTGAATCTGCAGGACTCAAAAGAACTCTTGTACAGGTTGGAAGGGGGTTTACTTACCTATCTCTATGCTATATTCCTTCCCGATCTGACTTTTCAATATATTCACACAACATGTCTCTACTGAAATCAGTTAATTTAATGAGTAAACCCTCTGATTCAATGATTGTGTTGGGTGACTTTAATTTACCAAATATGTATATCATGGAACATCATTGACAATAGGGGTATTCTCCAAATCTTGCCAAAGCCATTACACGTAGCACGGAGTGCATGGATTGTATAACTTGCAAACACACAACAACAAAATACATGGGAAACGACATTTCCTATCGTACTATGTATAATACTCACTTTTGCGTCATAAATGGTAAATATTTGATAAAAAAATATATTTTTTTCCTTTTAAGTGTTTTTTCTCAAATTTTTATTCACGAGGTATACAAATATGCACATCAGAAGAAAGAGGGTTTAATCGGCTTTACAATTTTTTTAAAATCGGTTAGTAATTTTTTTGTTTAAGATATTTTTTTTTATACAAAAAAAGGTATATATTCCTTTAAATGTGTTTTTTCTCAAATTTTTATATACGAAGTATACAAATATGCATATCACAAGAAAGGGGATTAAATCACTTTTACAACGATATGTGTCTTTTAAAAATGAGTTGAAAATTTTCTGAAATATTAAGTTTTTGATTTTTCGAAGATCTGACCCGTTTATAGCACCTTAACCTGTATACCATATAAATAAGAGAAAAAGGCGGACCACGTCGGTATTTTTACTTTTTTTGCTTTTTACATGCAATAATTAAAAATAATTTTCTAGCAAAGGTCCAATTTCGAACTTCGAAGGCCCATATCTCGATTTCGGAGGCTAACTTCGAAAAACGGAGAACTTACTTTTTTTACTTATGACTCAATCTCTTAAAAAAAGTTGGTTTGGTCCAATACCCACCAGCCGCAGCAGTGCTGTACAGTGTTATCACTAGGGACGGNGGAGTTTACGAAATCATAAAATGATTTGGGGTTATATATTATACGCCGTTTGATTTTACACAGGTCAACTTTTTAAAAGTTTTTCTTTAATTAAAAAAACTATTGAAATATTTTACTTCATACAGAGTTGCATGAAAGAACCGTGTGGACTAATCCCGTGTTTATTTGCACTCTTAACACGATTCCACAACTCTTAACTCGCATTCAAAATGTGATTTATGGTGGCACGGTTAAAAGTTTCAATTCGATTTAAAAATGTGTTTATACGTGTGGGTCTAAATAACATGGTTTAACTTAGAAACATGGTAAAACAATTTCTAACATGTTCGCTCAGTGTTTTAAATCCAATTATTTCATTAACTCCCAAGCACACCTTGACTATTCGTTTAAACTAATGCTGGATTTCCACTAAGCATTAAATGGCAAAAATGAGAAATGACAAAGTCGGGCTTTTTAAAATAATTGTGTCATTACATAAAAAAAAAATATTCATTAAGTTCATTTCCACATGGCATTTTTTTAAATGGCATACATTTTTTGTCATTTCAATGCCTAGTGGAAATTCGGTATAAGTCCAATTAACTCAATACATACCCCAGTAATATCTCTCGATGATGTATTAGTTTACCTGAAGACCCCTAAGCAANAGTCTTTTAGTTATGGTCCTGACCAGATCCCCACTTGTTTTCTTAGAAATTGTGCTGATTATCTCTATGAGCCGTTAACAGCCTTATTTAATTTGTCTCTTAAAGGCGGCATCTTTCCAACTGTATGGAAGGAACCGCTCATAACTCTGCTACATAAAAGCGGTAGCAGGTCCTCGGTGGAGAACTATCGGGGCACAGCTAAGCTTTCTGCAATTCCTAAATTATTTGAAGCAATTACAGTATTTCCCACTTAATTGTTCCCCGGTTAATTGATTTCCCCGCTTATTTGAATTACCTTATCGGTAAAAAAAATATTGCATAAAAAATCCATGTAAATTTTCGCGCATAATTGAAACGGGTTAATTGGCTTCGCCGTATAATTGGTTAAAAACATGTGGCATTGAAAAGAGATATACCTACTGTTCAATTAAACGAATATCGGTTAATTGATTCCCCGGTTAATTGAACCAAAAATTCTCCAATTTTTCAAGTGCAATTAAGCGGGGGATACTTTATTACAAATCAGTTGACGCATTCTATCTTCTCTAACATTTCATACTGTTAATATGAGTTATGCAAAGGCAAATCAACTTCAACAAATTCACTTGAGTTCACACCCTATATCTCAAAATCGTTTATTGAAAACAAAAAATGTGGATGTTACATATACCGACTTCAGTAAAGCATTTGACTTAAGTACATCCTGCCTTTCGTGACTCGGCCCAAAAATTGAAAATAATTGTTCCGTACGTCATGCGGACTGCGCCCCTCGTGCGGATGGGTGGGAAAGGAGGCTAAAACCGTTGAGATTATTATTATTATTTAGTGTTCGCGTAAACAGACTAAAGTAAGATACCAGCTAACGTCAATGCAAAACTACTGTTATACCTGTTTTTGTATTAATTGGGATGAATCTGTACGATCCACAAACAGTTATATATACCGATCTGAATTTTGAGTTAGCTCACTTTAGATCGCTTCTCTTATCAAATGTTATTCGATTGAGTCCAAATTTTTACCGTAAAACTTTTAGATGAAGATGACAATTTATTTTGGATGGCGCTATACAAAAATTCGCTTTGAAAAATATTTATACAAATAAGTACGCCTCCAGTGAATACTCATGGGTATCTTTGTACATACATACATACATATGTATCACACAAGAATTTCAAAATATCTAGTATTAATTCAAAATTCTCCATTTGACAGAAAATGCAAAAAAAACTTTCTCGAGCCCATGTTAATCATTTGGAAGAAAAGATATTATGTGTCTATTATGCAGCATTTGCACTTGCTTTAATCTAAATACATATGTACATGACCTATGATTATTTTCCGAAATATTCGAAATAAGAAAATAATAATAATTAGATTATACAAAAACACTTACTATGTACAAATGGAGAATTTTTCGTCCCTTTAATTTCTACGTTCCCCACATATCTAGGCAGCGCATTACAAAAACCATTATAAAAATTGAACGAAATACCGATATTTTTTAATTGTCTTATCCTTTGCAACCTTATCCAATCAGTTTCAAAAGATCTCAAAAAAGAGTTCTAAACGTCTTCAACCGCCGCGACGCTTTGTTAGTTTTATGAGCAAAACTGTATTTTTATTATTAATAATAACTACGTTTTTTTTTTTTAATAATTTTTACACGCACCCGTGTATGTACAATTCGATTGCTAGGTAACTCCGCAGTCACCCGAATTCATTCCAACTCGCATAAACTCGTCACCAAATTTCTATACACCTTATCATGCGCCTATGCTGAATAATGGTCTAGGCAATGCTGGTGTCAACGTAGCAGGTGGCGTTAGGCCCTCGGCCGCTAAATCGGTAAGTGGTACTCCCTCGTCTTTGCTTGGTCTGCAGAAAGCCACTGCTGCCGCGGTAGCTCAGCAGAAGCAGCTACAACAACAGCAGCAGCAGCAGCAACAACATCACCATCAACAACAATCACAACAACAACAACAACAGCAGACGCAGTCGTCACGCGCCCTGGTGAACGGTGTTTTACCGACGACCCAGCAGCCGACTGGCACACAAGCATACGTCAACATGACGACACCACTGAAAGTGCGCAGCAATATGCTTCGAAACGAATCACCCACTACCCATGGAGTTGGAGGTGGCAGTGTGGGTGGTGGTGGTGGTGAAAAGTCTCCTCCGCGCATCACACCTCGCACCTCACCCATCCCAACAACGCTGCCGGCGAGCGTACATCAGGTTTGTATATTGCACTGTTAGGTAACAGGAGAGCCCTTTGTTGTATGCTCATTTGATTTGTTTTACTTGTAGGAAAATGTAGGTGGCACGATATACTTCTATCCAACTGCCAATCATACAGCCGCCGCAAATAACAGTGCCGTGGTGAGTAATGTGGCTGATCCTGTGAGCGCCCATCGTGCTGCACCATCGGCGGTAGCGCCAATACCACCTGTGCAACCGCCATTGCTATACACGGGCCATCATGTGTATCCAGGTCCGGCTTCCAACTTGATTGCATTACAACCGAAAACACACTTGGAATCTGCCTTCTTCCTGCCTGATGAGATACGTTCAGAAATTCTTGCCCGCAATGAGATCTCGAATTTAATGCTCGACCCAGCCGAGGCGACGCAACATGCGCTTCCTCCGGAAGTGGATAATTATCACTCATTATACCCATTGGAGCCAGTACAGGCGTTGCACGGCAAACTCACAATACTTGCATCTACCTATAAGGCCACACATAGCACCACGGGCATTAAATACTGCTTGCGGAGATTACATGGTCAGTATATACATACATACTAGGGATCTTAGGAATTATTGCATTCGCATACACTTAGGCGAATGATTCGCATTATTTTTAACATTCGTATCAAATGGTGCGAATGTTTTGCTAATGCGAATGGCTACATGATGTTGTTGAATTGCCTCTAAGGGCCGTTTGCACCGCGTCTAGTTAACACTAACTGGAATCACATGTTATAAGCTGGGTGTCGATAGCGATATTTAACTGGGAGTTACAATTACAAATCGGTTAATATTTTACCCTCGCTCATTGGAGTAAAAATATGGGTTTTTTTGAGCAATTTAGACAAAATTTTTAATAACGCAGTGAATAATATTAAGAATTTTTTCCTTCTGGAATAATGCGAGTACGGTATAGATAATACAAATGCAAAAGAGTTCAAATTCTGATTTTCAAATCATTTGACTGTCACTTACACTATTTGAAGTGCCCTAAAAATCCTATTTCGGTAGAAATTTCAATCAATAATGAAATAGCAGTGAGAATTATTTTTTCGTTTTAAATTACTGTTTAGCAGTGTTGCCAGCTTTCTGGCTAGATTTTTTTAGTCGTTTGCTATTTGCCTTATTTTGTTAAAATTCAAATATATAAGTTTCCATTTTTATAAATTAAGCGACCCAGAACCTATTAGAAATTGCTACTAGGAGAAAATTTCCATGTCTGACTGTGTCATATAAAATTGAAAGATAATTTTTTCTAATCCAAAAAGTCCTAATATACTGGGCCGATATCGATGATTTTTATTTTGAGCGAATATATTTTTTACAAAGAAGGCGAATTTTCTTCATAAAGTTTTTGTTATGAATGTCTTAATTTAAGTGTGAAGTCTTATTCGATATACAGGTGTCTTCCCATAGAGCGCATATTCGAATCCGCCTTAACCCTCTACGACTGATGTGGTAATGTGATAGACACCGAAAGCTCGACATTTTTCCCGAGCTTCAATAACATTGCTTACTAAAAACGCCTATTTTTCGAAAAATAGTTTGTTTATGTAACTATTTCATTAATAAGTATTAATAATATTGATAGAATTTCCAGTTTAAATGGAAAAAAGTTTATTAATAAATATCTAACACACATATATGTCTGTTCATATATTTTCATCTAAAAAGTTGGTGTCAGTACAATAGCGAAATTTTAGTCACGTCAGTAGCAGAGGGTTAATTACAAAACAACATTGTTGCCCACACAAAAAGGTTTAAGGGAAAAAGGGATATTTTAAAGCACCATATATGTATATGTAGGCGGCCACTGTGGTATAGTGGTTAGCATTGCGCGCTACCATTCCGCAGGGCCTGGGTTCAAGCCCGGTTCAACCCAATATCAAAAAAAACAAAAGAGCTTTTTTCTAAAAACGGTCACCCTCGGCAAGCAATGGCAAACCGCCAAGCAAAAAACAGCTTCTCATAAAAATACAATTCGCCGGTCGGAGTCGGCGTAAAACTGTAGGTCGCCCCCTTGTGACAACATCAAGGCGCACGCCACAAATCGGAGGAGAGCCTCGGCCAAATACCAACGTATACACAGTAATAAACCTTTTCGCAGTTTTTCACCAATTGGTCCCCGAGGAGTACTTTTGGGTTGTGTGCAGCGTTTTCGGTTTTCTCGCACGGGGCAACACTTACTGTGGGGAATTTCGCCTCATGATTAGACAAAGTTCTTTTCGATTATAAAATATACATAATAATGTGCTATTTATGAGCAAAATGTAGGTTAAATATAATGTCAATGCTTAATGAAGAATAGTACATTCCTAGTGAACCCGCATGGCGTCAAAACGCCAACATTGAATTAAATTTTTTAAACAGGTGAAACCCTATTCAAGAACCTCTAAAAATATTCCTAATGATTAATCTAAACCATTTCTCAATGATGAGAGGTCTCGGTGTCGGTTTTCATTTCATCAAATTTCAAATCTGCCTGTAACTTCAAAAAATAAAACCTGTGCACCTCTATGTAGAATCCCAGTTCTTTAATTTGACTTCTCATTTTGGAAATTAGAAATAACGTTGCAGATGTGATGACCTTCAAAAAAAAAAATCGATGGCAACTCTAATAAAAAATATTATCAGCCTACATAGTGAAATAAATATAAAGTGTGCCAGATAGCAATGACATATTTCGGCACTCTTATTTGACAATTTATTATCACAAACTTTTCTTTG